ACTCTTTCCTGCCTATGCAGGGGGTCAGACTCGATGATCTACTGAGGTCCCTTCCAACCCTAACATCTATGAATCTATGAATCTTCTGATACAGTGGTAAGCCGCTACCAAGTCCCCTCTCAACCATCTCTTCTTTAGGCTAAAAAGATGCCCAGGGCCCTCAGCCTTTCCTCGTATGGCTTGCCTTGAAAGTCCCTGATCATATGGGTGGCTCTTTTCTGGACGCTCTCAAGTTTTGCCATGTCCTTATTGAAATGCGGCGCCCAGAACTGGACGCAGTAATCCAACTGTGGTCTCACCAGGGCCGGTACAGCGGGAGTATCACTTTCTTACTTTTACATGAGATACGTCAGTTGATGTATGCCAGCGTGCTGTTTGCCCTGCTGGCCACAGCATCGCACTGGCTCATATTTATGTGATAGTCAGTCATTACCCCTAGGACCCTTTCAGCCGTGGTGCAGGTCAAGCTGTCACCACAGAGCCCGTACGTAGGTTAAGGGCTGTTTGCCCCCACATGGAGCACCTTACACTTGGAAGTGTTAAACTTCATTTGGTTCCGGTCTGCCCAACTCTCGAGCCTGTCTAGGTCCACCTGTATCTACGACCTCTCTTCTGACATGACCACACTGCCCCATAACTTGGTGCCATCCGCAAACTTGGCCAGTGAGCTGTTCACTCCCCCATCCAAATCGTTGATAAAAGATGTTGAAAAGCACTGGTCCAAGCACGGACCCCTGAGGGACACCACTGGCCACTTCACTCCAGGATGATGCAGATCCGTTCATGAGAACTCTCTGGGTCCTACCCTGTAGCCAGTTTCCCACCCACTGAACCGTCAAGCAGCTGAGCCCACAATCTTCTAGTTCTCACAAGGATATTGTGGGATACCAGATCAGATCTGGAACCTAGCAATCAAAGCTGAAGACAGGTGCATATTACGCTCTTAGATGTGCAGGGGTATGTGCTTGCAGCAGCACAAATAGTAGCAGCACAAATTTGTCCCACTACTTTGTGCCACAACACATGCCCCTGCACGTGCACTTATGTGTGGGACAAACTGTCCCACTTTGGGCAAACTGTCCTTGCCTAGCTCCTCCTGGCTTCCGGTGTGCTCAAGCAGCAAGGATACAAATGATGCAGCAAGAACACTGGCTGCCAGCTAGAGTGTCTCACTAGAGGACCAAGCCTCCATTTGTTCCAGCACATACTATTTCTACATACTCTACGTCAAAAAAATCCCAGTAGGGAATCTCGTCCCTGTGCTGCAAATCTGCAACACAGGGCACGTTTTAATGTTCCACACATGTGGATTGTGGTGCCACCAAGAGGTTTGTGGAACCACAAACTGCACCTAACTGCATGTCTGGATGTGGCCTTGGAGGCCCCTTCCTTAGAAATTCTGCCTCAGCATGAAATTAGTGCTAGTCACACCTATCTGCCAGTTATTCTAAGGGTCTGTACACTCTCTCTGTACCCAACTGTGGCTTTGAGGCAACAAACCTAGATCTAAGACTTATATCCACCCAAGGGATTCCTTCACCCTTGAAGGAGGGACTGCTCCGTTCTTAACTTACTTGAACAACAGCTTTTGTGCCGCTGACTTCTAGAACCTGTCCGCTTCTCTTGGTCCCATCAGGAAGCGTCAAATGTACAATTTCTGCATACCGAGGAAACTGCAGAGGATATTCAAAATGAGACAGCGGGAAAAGAGTTTTAAGTCTACATTAGACATCATAAGATCTAGAGTTCACTTAGAGCTCAACAGCTACAAGGCTTGTAGAGTTCACAATCTAAACCGAATCCAAAACAACTCAAGTTGACCATCAGCTTAAGCTGCCCAAAAACAGCTTCAAACCCTGCAGAAGATTTAGCACATAGGCTATGGAAAAGTTCAAGAGTTTAGAATTTTGTTCAAGTGTGATGTTTGTTCCAACTTACACAAAGCTGTACAGTGCCCATCAAGCTGCCTGGAGGTACATCTCAAATAAACCACATTTTTTTGTCAGGAAATAACCTGATGTCACTTCAAGGCAAACTTCAATATACCCTCCATGAAATAGATTCATCCCCAGTCTTTCAGCAGATTACAAGGGAAGGACGTTCCCCCTTTATTAATTTATCCCATGAAAACAACGAAGCCAGAACAATTAATCCCCTTTTTTTTTTTTTTTTAATCCAAAAAGAGACATCTATAACTGTACAAGGCATTGCAATGTCTCCTCCCTGCCTTCAAATATAAGTCATCAGTTGAACTGATGGAGAATCATTATTCTCCTTTTCATTTGACCCTTAAAAATCTTGGATGCTTTACAGACGCTCCCAGTCTGCAGCACTTTGTTCAGAGTTATATGTTAACTTATTATACATTTGCAAGCAAATAAAATTTTGCATTTAACATGAAACTGAGGCTCCACATCCATAATAGAGCTAATAATTCAAACCATGTCTAATTACAAACCCAGCTTTCCTGCACTGAATTTCTCCTCTCCCTTCAAATCAGAAAGACTTCAGGAAGAGCAATATTTACCTTCACTTGATCCAATATTACCAGTGGACCATTAACTCCCGATACAGTTTTATATGCTGAAACACAAAACAAGATGCATCATACAAAACATTCAGGAGCAGGCTAAACATACCCTGCTGAATAAAGTGGTCATCTAAAAGCTTTACGTGGCCAGCATCCTAACATAGTATTGCGCAGTGTGTTGCTGAAAGGTCAATTGTGGTCAAGATGCCAAGCTGCCTAGTGCATATCCATCTGATGTGGTCAAGGTTTAATCCAAATGCTACCTAGGTTCCTCATTAAGTTGGTTAAATATAGGCTTATCCTGAACTGCTCTATATTGTCATTTCAACTCAGACAGGTAGCCAATTTCATTACACTCTATACAGTTAATTGCAAGATCTTGCGTTGCTGCGTCTTGCTGACAAGTCGGTTGCATGCAAAGCCCCCCTCAGCACCCCCCTTCCCCCCCCCCAGCTTTCCAACCCAGCACCCTGTAATTACTGCCAAATGACTTTCAGTTCCAGATTGTGCAGCTGGGATTGGTGATTACAGTTGGAAGGAAATAAGGGACAATTTTGTTGGCATTTTGCAGTGGGTGAATAGTTACTTTTAGGGTAGTTTTTTTATTCAAGAATTTACAATTTTTTTTTAAACTCCGTGAAACAAGTGTGGGTTAAGGGTCAGGGGAGGACAGCCGTGGAGACAGAAATCCTCTCTCCAAACAGCAAGCAGAGGCTAGAGAGCAGCAGAGTTGAGCAACTCTGCTAGACTGCCTCTACGTCGGCCTGATGGAAATGCCTCTGGAAGAGATGCACAGTTCAGAGTTATAGGGCCTTTTTATTCTGAGTGGGTCTGTGTCAGTGGGTGTTGTGAGGGGGACTCCTGTCTGCTCAGACACTAGTGATCTGTGGTGAGTCTGAACCAGTGAGTCATAGTATAAGGTCCTGTATGCTGTTCTCACTAGCCCCTTTGGGACAAACCCAGTAGTCTTTCCTGCCCAAGGGCAGAGGGGCTGGACCTGATGATCTGTAAGGTCCCTTCCAGTCCCTAACAACTATGAAACCACAGCAGTAGGAGCAGATTTTTCAGCTATGGACCAGGAAAAAAGGAGCTCAAAGGGTGCTGTTATAATCTATGTCCAGAGATAAATGCACCAAAAAACACACCCCAAGCAATAATTTACTTATTGTTTCCCTTAGGTGGCAGAGGATGATGCTCTAAGGTTCCCCAATCAGTGTGACAAAAAGAAAAAGGGCTTTTTTGAACTCATTTTACATTAGTGGCTCTTCAGCAAGAGCAAGATTCCTCATCCGTGTATGGCTAAGGGACTGCACTGCAAGAGGTAGAGTTACACTTTAATCAGTAGCCCAGAACCCAGATGGTATCTACCATGGCTCATTTAAGCTGCATTGTCTCAAATGTTTAAGGAGTGGAAATATGCATGTGTGCAAAGCCAAAGCTCTGGACAGAAGCAGAACTCATATGTAGCTATGGGTTATGAAGCAAAGATCCACAAGATCAATTTAGGTAAGTGAATTCTCTGGCACACTGAATCACAGGGATTGGCAACCTTCCCTCGACCCCCATCCTCAGCAGACTAAGGCTAGGAAGTCCTCACATTATTCAAAGCAAAGAAAGCCAAGACAAGTTGAGCTAATTTGCACCAGCATTACAATATGGTGTCACAGAACCATAGCCTGAAATACCATCTCCCTCAAGACTAGCTAATAAAAGGCTGCATTTTAAAACAAAAGATGATTGCTAACCACAACAATCAAGGTCCTCCTACAGCAAGGGCAGGCAGTTATTTCAGGCGGAGAGCCGCTTACTGAGTTTTGGCAAGCCATTGAGGGCTGCATGACAAGCAGCTGAGGCAGATAAATACTAATTTTCTTCATTTTGGGGGGGCCCCCCCACGGGCTGGACAGAATGGTCTGGCAGGCCGCATCCAGCCCTCCGGGTCACACTTTGCCCACCCCTGTCCTACTGTGATCATCCTAGTAGGATTTCCACCCCCTCCCCTCCACCATCTCCAAGTAATTTGTACACCTAGCAAAACCTGCTTTGCAGGGAAAGTAAAGCCAACTCAGATTTGATTTTCCCCAGAGCACTTTGTTAGCCACACAGAAACTCCGGAGTTTCTCCAGTCTGCAAGGCCTAAACACTGGTTAACCGAACTGTGTCACAAGATGAGCCCAGGAAGTCACAGGATTAGTTTTACCATTGTTCATCAACCTTATGACTGGTGTATCTTCTTGGTAGTAACACTACTGCTGCTCCTTAAAATGGACTTTGTATATACAGTGATAGTACAAACTCTCCCTTTATGAGCATGGGAAAGACCCCCTGATTATTTCCCACAAGGGCTGTGCAGCATCCCACATTAAACTTCAGCTGTATTTCATCTGCAATTACAGCAAGTGTTTGAGTCCCTGCTTTACCAGGATCACAAGGGATGACTGTAAGCAAGAGTAAGCATTAATCAGTTTGCCCTAAGGGGGAAAAAAAAGGATGAGCAAGTCAAGCTATTTCTAGAACTGGAAAATTAAGTTCAACATGATCAAGAGAAAAGTGTTACTTGGTGGCATTCATTTGTTTAAGATCATCACAAGTTCCACTGGACCCAAGTCTGGAAAAAAAATGTTCAGAGTAACACTAGACAAGATGTCTGAGTTTTGTACACACTGCAAAGTGTGCGCTCAAACCATGCTTTGTGTCTCCTGTCACAGCTCTTCTATTTATACTGTTAACAAAAAAGCTAGCAGTTGTCATTTTTTCAGGGGTGTTGGTTGTAGCCGTGCTGGTCTAAGGACATAGGCAGACAAGGTTCGTTGCAAAGAATTTTTCCAACTATTTCAGTTAGTCTAATAAAAGATATCAGATTTACCCAAAGAACCTCATCTGCCAGCTGTTATTGTGACACTATCATCAAGTGATTTTACCTGCAAGGGTCAAAAATACCAGATACTATATGGGCTAATATCTGAGCCGTCTCAACAAATTTGCTGGGCTATGCATGTTAGCGGGGTGCATCATGCAGCAGCAAAGTGCATTCTGTTAACTGCACGACTAGCCAGCTCTCTGTATCTGCCTATTGCTTACATAACCTTTGTCTGTCCGTTGGTTTACTGAACAGCATTGTTCAGCCCCACTATCCATTCCAGTGGATTTGCATTCGAATTTACTGCATAACTGGCAACACAGAGCAAAAGGGAAGCAACTTTAGATGCTTTAATGCTCGCAAAAGCTAGCGACTTAAAGGACTGCTACTTCCCCTTATCGTCAGGCATTTTCACTGGATGCCAGGTTCAACAGAAAACCTGGAATCAACTATTAGAAGCCCCCAAAACCAGCAGGAGCTAGTCAGTTTGGGAACTGTCAACGTCATGGTGCTGACACTACCACATATTGAATAACCATTGCTTAGATAAAGTAAGGAAAAGAGCACAGCTTCTTTCAACCTTGAAACTACACATTTAGAATAAACCTGAACTGAACTTTGGCCAGGATGATCTAGCTGGGGGTGGCCCTACTTTGAGCAGGGGGTTGGACCAGATGTGACCTCCTGAGGTCCCTTCCAACCCCAACTTTTATGATTGTATGAACTTGGGTAAAAAGAGGATTAAACAAAAAAAATTCCTCCTTTGCATATTTTCCTGCCTCCTTCATGAGCAAAAAAAAGCCTTGCAGTCCAAGACAGATACGTGCTCTGGGGTTCTTTGAACACTTCATTCCAGCTACAGGAAACTATTCAAAGAAGTATTTTTGTCTTATCTGAAAGACAATGGTTTTAGATCAGTTGGAAAAGGGCCTGGGTGTAGCCAGCCACTTGCAAACACAAGGAGAGAACTTGAGCAACACCACCGTCTAACTTATGATAGGCTCGTCAGCACTTCCTCACTGATCCAAAACATAAAAAGTATACTTCCTGGCATTGCCCAGGCACATTTTGGATGGGAAATTATTACATTAAGCCACAATGCTTTTAAATTTTAGAAGCAGCATGGCAAGTTGGCTCCAAAAAAAAAAAAAAAAGTTTCTAGTAATGTTTTGGCCAACACTAGCGAGGTTGACGGGAACCAAACTGCGCCCCCTCCCATGTTATTTCATTGACACAGCGTGCTAGCAAACTCAGAAGATCCCCAAAAGGTTTGTCAAGTGTGAATGCCTCCACTTCAGAAGACTGCAGCTTCTGATATAGCAGTCAGCTGAATCTAGCATCAGAAGAGGGTTTTGCAAAAACTTCAAAACACACTTGTGCTGACTACAACTGGTGACCATGGGTTCGTCAATGCCGATCTGCTCTCCAGGGACACTTCAATTGTTTCATCCATGACCGACATTCGACTGCACGAAAAAAAAAAAACTTTACAAAGATGGACAAAACCTCAGTTCAAGTGCAGCAAGTAGAACACATGCTCCAAATATACTGAGATCACTGAACTATCACAAGCTGTGACCAGGGCTGCATATTTTTCCCTTTTATTTTTGGATAAAAGTTTTCATGACAGATCAAAATGACTGATTTGGACTTCAAACTGAAACAACCTAACACAGAAGTCAACCACAACAAAGGGTTATATTGCTACACTGTCCAAGGTGGCTCACACCACTTATACAACCTGGGCAAGGATTTAAAGATTTTTCTTTTTGCAGGATTGCTTGAGCCAACATAAAGAGCTCTGGAAAAGCTGTCCAATTAATTTTGATTTTGCTTTGTTGCAGTACAGGGAGAGAGGTCTTACAATGATCCTAGTAGGCAGTACTTCTACTGCATTTCCCCTTTTTCCACTTCAAGTTTCACAATTTCAAGCTTAATGGAGAAAATAATACCCATCTCCTCTTCCTCCTCCCCACCCTCCTTCACATTACTCCATTTACAGTAATGTCTAGTTCCTCTCAGAAAAAGTGGAACATCTTTGTCAGGCGAGGGAATACTAAACAGACCTGATTAAATCCAGAAGACACCAAACTCTTTCCAAACGACACTGCTATTTAGTCACCTGCATAAATTCTTTAGTTAAATTTTAGGAATGAAATGTTTCTCCTTCCCCCTCTTTCCCCCCCCAGTAAAACATGCAAGATCTCCCCAATATGCATGTCATGGTGCAAATCTCTTACACTTGGAAGGGGTAGCCAAAGCAAAAACAAAAACAAAAAAAGGTCTGGACTGATCTGTAACCAAAGTTTAGGCAAAAGTCTAAGCTTAATTTTAAAATTCAAATGTTTGAATCAGCACTTTAAATCTCTGCAGCCAAGAAAACCTTCATTTGCTTGTTTTTCTTGCAGCCTCAATTCTGACAGCTACACGCAGCAGGATCAACCCTACCTCCAGACATTGATTATTAAGACTTCAGCTGCAGAAACTCACCATACAACGTTGGTGACAAACTCCTCACTAACTCGTATGAGATTGTCTTTCGACTACTCAAATGCAGGCCACAGAATCTTGAAAGGTAACTCGTAAGGGGGCAATAGGCCCACCATTTAATTTCCTCCCCATCCTATCAAGGAAGTGCTCTAGGTGGACAGCTTCAGGTGACAGGCTCTCCATTAGCTCCCTCCTTCTCTGGCAAAACCCATTTTCTCAGAAAACGATATCACACTTAATAAAATATATATTTGTAGTTGGCAAAAAGGCCCCAAATATCTTCCCTTCTATTTAGGGCAGGTTTCTGAATTAAATACCTTCTGTAGTCTCCAAGGCCACTATTACCTGGACTCACTAATAAGCTACAGAAACAAAACGTCAACCAGGCGAACATTTAGAAACCCGTGCTTTACTTAAAACCCTCTGAAGGAAAGACAACTCTACACATTTGTGTGGCAAATTCCCTTTTCAAGGTTCCCACATGGCCTTGAAAGTGATCATGCACAGATTAGTCACCTAACAGGAAGAACTCTTTCACAATCCCTTTAGGTCCCCTGTGCTAGGAAGCCCAAAATTACATTCAGCAAGAGCCAGGACAGAGCTCTGGCTCTTTCAGAATCCCCCCCAAAAAGGCATAGCTACACTGTGCCCATTGCTGAACCTCTTCCATGGATATGCAAACTGGAAGGCTGTAGTTCGCCCTTGCAAGCAAGATGTGTAAGCAGCCATTTGTGCCAAGAAGCATGTTAACATCCCCCCCGCCCCCAAAACAAAAGATTTCACAATCCCTTTAGGTCCCCTGTGCTAGGAAGCCCAAAATTACATTCAGCAAGAGCCAGGACAGAGCTCTGGCTCTTTCAGAATCCCCCCCAAAAAGGCATAGCTACACTGTGCCCATTGCTGAACCTCTTCCATGGATATGCAAACTGGAAGGCTGTAGTTCGCCCTTGCAAGCAAGATGTGTAAGCAGCCATTTGTGCCAAGAAGCATGTTAACATCCCCCCCGCCCCCAAAACAAAAGACAACCCCCCCCCAAACAAATAAAAAACCCAACCACGCAACATGCTTCGCCAGAAGCAGCAGCATATTAGTTCAACCCAGCTCTACAGCATCTGTACTGAATGGGACTTTTCAGCAGTTTTATCTAAAGCTGGTTCAATCTGCTATTAGATCCAAAAAAGCCCCACTAAAAAGTGTCCCATTTACAGATGCTGCATGAGACAGGTTCCAGCTAACATGATGCCTCTTGTGGGCACAAACTGGGGTCGGTGCAGGAGTGTGCCGAGTTTAAAGTAAAACACTGTTTTTTGTTTCTTTTTTTAAAAGCAGACAGTGATGCTATACCAACCCCACGGGTGCCATGGGCAGAGTCCAGCAGAGGGCAATGAAAATGGTTCAGGGGCTGGGGAGCATGACTTGTGAGAAGATCGCTGGGGGGAACTGGGCTTAGAGAGTCTGCAAAAGAGAAAACGTAGGAGGGGATTTAACAGCCACCTTCAACTGGGAGGGGGGGGGCAGGGGGGAAGGGAGTCCAAAAAAGGATGGCACCGGACTGTCCTCGGTGGTGATGAACGACAGAACAAGTCAGATGTTGGGAAAGTCTCTCCCACGCTAGGAGAGTGGCAAGATGGTGGGATCTCCATCCTCAGAGGTGTTGAAGACCACACTAAGACAAAGCCTGGTGGGGATGATGTAGTTGGGGCTGGTCCTGCTTTGAGCAAGAGACTGGACTAGATCCTTTCCAACCCTTATTTGGTACGATCCTATGTCCAGGGGTGTTCACAGTCTCTCCCTACTGCACCCCACAGCCAGCCCTCCTTCCATGCCGAAAGCAGCCGCCCAGCTCCACGGGCAGGGCACCTCTCCCACCTCCAGGCCCCCCTGCTCCAGGGCCAGACACAACCCAGGACCCTGCCCGCTGCCTCCTCCGCAGGAGCAGCCCAAGGGCCGGGGTGGTACGATCCTATGTCCAGGGGTGTTCACAGTCTCTCCCTACTGCACCCCACAGCCAGCCCTCCTTCCATGCCGAAAGCAGCCGCCCAGCTCCACGGGCAGGGCACCTCTCCCACCTCCAGGCCCCCCTGCTCCAGGGCCAGACACAACCCAGGACCCTGCCCGCTGCCTCCTCCGCAGGAGCAGCCCAAGGGCCGGGGGCAGACAGCGCGCCAGGAGCCTGTGGCGCGACAGCGACGCTGACAGACGTGCGGGCCGCGGGCTTAAAGCGCGTCAAGGGCCCCGCTCCTGGGGGGAGGTGGCGGCGGCCCCGCGCTACTCACTGAGCCGGGGCTGGGAGAGGTAGTCGC